ACACACACACACACACCACACATCAGTGTTAATGTCGTTCTGATGCCATCAGGTTCTCCCAAATGCAAACACATTTATTTTATTTTACTGTTTCGTTTTGTTTTGTTTTGTTTAATTTTTAATTTCTATTTTGCTGACTTATTTAGTTCTTTTATTTTGTTTTATTTATGTTTTATATTGATTTGTGGTTTTGTTTGTGTTTGTTTTGTTTCCTGTTTTGTTGTCTGCTGTTTTTCTTTTTATTTTACTGTTTTGTTTAGTTCAGTTTTAATTTGTTTTGTTTTGCTGTGTTTGGTTATTTTACTTTTTGTCTATTTACCTGTTTGTTTTGTTTTTCTTTTATTTTACTGATGTATTTAATTGTTTTATTTAGTTTCATTTTCAATTTATATTGATTTGTTTTCCGTTTCGTTTTGTTTTGTGTTGTTTTTTTATTTTGTTTATTTTCCTGTTTTTTTTAGGTCAGTTTTATTTTTATTTTTTGTTTTATTTGTGTGTTTTTTATTTTTACTATTTACCTTTTAGTTTTATTAAACTTTTTATTTAACTGATTTATTTAGTTTTATGTTTGTTTTATAGTGTTTTGTGCTTTTGGTTTGTTTTGTTTCATTTTGTTTTGTGATGTTTTTTGTTTTTTGTATTTTGTTTATTTTGCTGTTTTGTTTAGTTCAGTTTTATTTTGTTTTGTTTTATTTGTGTGTTTTGTTTATTTGACTTTTTTGTCTATTTAACTTTTAATTCTATTTATTTTTAAAATTGTATTTATTTATTTAATTTTATATTAGTTTTATATTGATTTGGTTTTGTATCCTGTTTTATTTTTGTTTTGTTTTTTGTTTGTTTAACGGTTTCATTTAGTTCAGGTTTATTTTGTTTTGTGTTTTTTATGTGTTCTTTGACTATATTTTGTTTTGTTTTGTGTTTGTTTATTTTACTGATTTATGTAGTTCAGTCTTATGTAGTTTTACTTTTGTTTTACACTGATTTTTGTGTTTGTTTGTTTTGTTTCCTGTTTAATTTTGTTTTGTTTTTGTTTTGTGTTTGTTTATTTTACTTATTTATTTAGTTCAGTTTTATGTAGTTTTACCTTTGTTTTAAACAGATTTTTGGGTTTGTTTGTTTTGTTTTCTGCTTAATTTTTTTTTTTACTGTTATTTTGTTTGTTTTTTTTATTTTACTGTGTTTTGTTTTGTTTACCATTTTTTACAGGTGTTACATTTTTACATTTTTTCCTGTGTTTTATATTGATGTGTTTTGTTGTTTTGTTTTGTTTATTGTGTTGTTTATTTTACTGACTTATTTAGTATTTGTTTTATTCAGTTTTATATTGATGTGTGCTTGTGTTTTGTTTACTGTTTCATTTTGATTTGTGTTGTTTTTTGTATTTTGTATTTTTTATTTTACAGTTTTTTTTTATTTGTTTTCTCTTCCTCTTCCGTGTTCAGCTCATTTTGTGTGCTGGTTGTGGTGCTCGGTGCTATAGTGAGTCGGTGGTGCGCTAAAGAGTCTGAGTGTGTGTGTGTGTGTTTCTGAACTTCGGCAGGCTCTTGTAGCTCAGGACGGCCTGGGTTCTCTCTGGTTTATTGGTGTCTCTCCAGCAGGCGATGTAAGTTCCTCCAGTGCTGTGACTATGGCATGACGTGGGGTTGTAATTTTATTATTATTATTATTTGGATATTTTTATTTTAGCATTTTTATTGTATTCTATCTTTGTTATAATTAATATTGTGTTATTTATATTTATTTGTGCAGTTTTGTCTCCTGAACACCGCTGCTGTTGTGGCTCTGGTGGATCGGCCATCATTTACTCACTCTCAATTGGTTTCAAACCAAATTTCTTCTTGTTATTTTGTTATTATTTTTTGATTTGTGTATTTTATTTAGTTTTGTTTTATACCGTTTTCATAAATATTTTAATATTTTTTTTTATTTTAGTTTGTTAGCTTCTTTATTTCATTATTATTTAATTTTTTATAGTTATTTTTGTGAGTTTTTAATTTTAATTTTATTATTTAAATGGTATTACTGTTATATATTTTTATTTATTTATTTCTTACTTTTAGTAAATTTGATTATTATTATTATTTTTATGTTGTTGTTTATATTATTTATATTTATTTGTGTAGTTTTGACTCTTGAACACCGCTGGTAGCCGTGACTCTGCTGGATCTGGTGATCTGTTATTGCTGTTGTTCTGTGAGTTGTTCTGTTGCTCTTCCTCGTGATGAAAGTGGTGGATATTTCGCTCTCTGTGGTCTGTATTTCTCTCTATTTCTTTATTTCAGCTCTGTTTTAAAGGCTTGCTGGCGCCTGCTGTTTCTGATGGCTTTTTTAATATGATTGACATTGTTGTTTATATTTATATTGTTAGTTATCATTTAATAATGTGGTGGTTCAAGGACAGGGACAGTTCACCCAAAATTGAAAATTCTGACATAATTAAATACCCTTAAGATTTTTTATATAAAGTTTTTGCAAATATTAAATTTTCTATTAGATT